GATGGACTGAGACTTGCTAAAGAACACAAAGGACGTGGTCCCTACCCTCAGCCCTCTTTGCTCCGAAATTGAGGGTAAGACCCTCAAAGAACTAGACAATGTCACCTTATCGAGGAGCATAGCGGACCTCGCTCTCCGGGTGAGTGCTTAGTGTTTTGTCCTTTTCTTTTTTTCCTTTATTGGCAAGGGGGTTTTTATGTTTGCCTTACTTTTTTTTTGCTGATTGTGATTTTGGAGATTGAAAGTGCCCGAAGAGAGGAGAAGCATAGGGAAATATTTGTAAGGCTGGAAAATAAATTTTTGGAGTATCGCGACAAGTACTGGGAGTTCCGTAGGCGGTTTGGTGAGGGCGGCAATCTGCAAGCCTTTCGTGATGAGCTGAAGGAAAAGGATGACGAGTTGGTGTGAGTCATCGAGAAGTGCAGTGTCCTCGAGGGGATGCTGAGGAGTAGGGAGGAGGAGCTCGAGGTCAGCAGGGGCGTAGAGGCCCAGTGCGGTGACCTTCAGGCCCAAGTGGTTGAGCTGCATACGAAATTAAGGGAATGCCAGCTACAGATGGAGGTCCTTCATGGAGAAGTCACCGAGAAGCAGAGCAAGCTTGAGAAGGCGGAGTCTTCTCGTTTGGAGGCTTGGGGAAAATCGAAGATATTAGAGTTTCCAAATAGGACTCTTCGGGCCGAGCGGGAGATTGATCAATCTACGTCGAAAGCAAAACATGATAGACTAGAGGAGAGGATCAGAGAGCTAGAGAAAGACAACTCTCTCCTTCATGACCGGGTGGCCGCTTTGGAGGCTGAAACGGCTTAACTGCTTACGTAGCCATTTTCCTCTCGTACTTCAAATTTCCAAATGTTCCTCGGGACCTATACGAGGAATGGATTTATGTTGAAGCTCTGTTGGACGTGTTTCGAGATTTGTATAAGGCGGGATCCGTTTCTGCAGTCGCCCTTGATGATGTTCGCGTTAAGGCCCGCGAGGCTTGGGTCGCTTGTGAATATGATCCTGCCACACCTGAGGCTGGTGATAATGAGGGGGATGGGGACGTGGACCAGCTTGAAGAGAACGCCTGGTATGATGTTGCATACCCTGAGGGCGAAGGTGATAACGAAGAAAGGGATCGAGATGGCCTAGGCATCGACGATCAAGGTGGTGGAGGTACAGAAGGTCCTAATAGCGGCGACCAGTAGTTTTTCTCTTCTTCTTCTTCTTCTTCTTTTATTTTTATTTTTGTTGTAAGCTTGTGTACTTTTGTCGGCGTCTTCACGAGTCTTTGTAAAAAAGGTTCAAGTATGAAATGGAATGCCAAGGTTGTTTTCTACATCTGTTTCCTTTTCTGTGGTTTATTTTCTGTACTTATGTATTTTTGCTTCTGTTTCTTGTTTGAGCGAGGTTGAACATATCTGAACTTAGCTGTGACTGAGGGCCGGTAGATGTTAGTTTGAGCGAGGTCGAACATAACTTGAACTCAGTTGTGGACGAGGGCCGGTAAGTGTTAGTTCGAGCAGGGTCGAACATAACTCGAGATTAGTTATGGCCGAGGGCCGGTTGGTGTTAGTTCGAGCAAGGTCGAACATGACTTGAGTTTAGTTATGGCTGAGGGCCGACATGTGTTAGTTCGAGCGAGGTCTAATCATAACCTGAATTTAATTATGGACGAGGGCTGGCAGGTGTTAGATCATAACCTAAATTTGATTATGGCCGATGGCCGGTAGATGTTAGTTCGAGCGAGGTCGAATACCTGAATTTAATTATGGCCGAGGGCCGGTAGGTGTTAGTTCGAGCGAGGTCGAACATAACCTAAATTTGAGAGAAATGCGATGGTAAGTGTAAAATTTATTGCCTTGACATTTTTGCATTTGTTACATACTTGGAGAAATTTACAGATTTTGGGTGTTGGCTGGCGTTCCAGTCAGTCCCGGTCTATCTAGTCCCTTCTTGGTCGATCTGGAGAAAAGTGAGAGGTCGATCAATGAAATAGTAACCAGGGCCTTGCCTTCGCCTACTTCAACTTGGAGTTTTCCCTTCGTCGCCTCGTTAAAAACCTACTTGAGAAAACCCAGCTGGGACAAAACTCAAGCGAGGGAAAAAAAAAAAAGAAAGAACGACTTGGAGGACACTTTTTCTCTTAGAAGTAGAAGTATTTGAGGTGGATGATATTTAAGTTGTTTGGTAGTAGCTTTTCTTCCATTGTTTCTAGTTGAAATGATCATTTATTTGGTTTTGCTGTGATTTTGTACGGACCGTCCCAATTTGCTCCCAGCTTGCCTTCCCTTGGATCTTTGCTCGCTTGGGTTTTAGCTTTCAGCACGTAGTCCCTGACTTTGAACGGCCTGACCTTTGCTTTCTTGTTATAATAGCGCTCTGCTTGCTATTTTTGGGCGATCATTCTTATATAGGTCATATCTCTTCATTCGTCGACTTCGTCGAGTTCCTGCCTTCTGCCGTCATTGTTGCTTGTGGCGCTCTCGTGGGAGTACCTTAGACTGGGCTCTCAGACCTCGACTGGTATTACCGCCTCAGTCCCGTAGACCAAAGAGTAGGGCGTCTCTCCTGTGCTCATTTTCGGAGTTGTTTGGTATGCCCACAATACTTCTGGTAGTACTTCTGGCCATAGTCCCTTATCGTCCTCAAGCTTCTTCTTCATGATGTTTAGTATCGATCTGTTGGAGGACTCTGCTTGCCTGTTGCCCGCGGGGTGGTACGGGGTTGAGAGTATTCTTTTGATATGCCATTTATCGAAAAATTTGGTGATTTTCTATCCCATGAATTGGGGTCCATTGTCGCAGCTGATTTTGTTGGGAAGGCCGAACCAACATATGATATTTCTCCATATAAAAGTGATTACTTCCTGTTCCCGTATTTGGGCGATTGCTCCTGCTTTCACCCACTTAGAAAATAGTCAGATAAAATTAAAAGCAATCGTACATTACCTCGCCTGCCGGGAGGGGGCCTACGATGTCCATTCCCCATTTGATGAACGGCCAAGATAAGGTGATCGAGCGGAGATGTTCATCCACTTGGTGAATCACTAGGGCGTACTTCTGGCATTGCTTGCATCTTTTCACGAAGTCTGTAGCCTCCTTTTTCATGGTGGGCCAATAATATCCCGCCTGTATGAGGCATCTAACCAGTGCTCGATTGCCGGAATAAGCCTCGTAATGGCCTTCGTGGATTTCTTCAAGAACTCTCTTTTCTGGTTCGGGCCAAGGCACTTCGCTAAAGGGCAGCCGTAGGTTCTCTTGTACAGGTCATTGTGGAGGATATTGTATCTAGTTGCTTGCATTCTTAGTTTCTTGGCTTCTTTTATCACCTAGGAGTGTGCCGTTCTGCAAGTATGAGTATACGATTGCGCCAGTCCCAAGTTAAGTTAGTGGTTCTTACCTCGACTTGGTCTAGTGATAAGTTGAGGATATGGACCACGTTTTTGTCTCTCGTCGTGATACTTTTGGTGGCGGCGGCTAGCGTAGCGAGTTCATCTGCCTCGACATTCTGTGCTCATGGAATTTGGTCGAGCTGACATTCGTCAAACTCGAGTAGCAATTTGCAGATTTTGGTCTGGTATTTTTGCAATCTTTGTTCCTTGATTTTGGAAAGCCCCTGTGACTTGGTTGACTACGAGCTAGAAATCACAACGTAGTTTTAACCGTTTTGTCCCATACTTGAGCGCTAGTCTCAAACCTGCAATGACGGCCTCATACTCGGCCTCGTTATTAGTCATGTCCGGGCACCTTATGGACTGGTGAATTACTTCTCCTATTAGGACTTCGAGTACGAGTCCCAGTCCGGACCCTGACGCATTGGATGCTCCGTAGGTGTATAGGACCCAGAGGTCTTGTGTTTGGGGGGAAGTTTGGAGGGCTTCCCTTTCGACTTCAGGCATTATTTTTGCGCTGAAGTCGGCAACAAAGTCAGCGAGCACTTGTGACTTTATCTTTGTTTGCGACTGGTACGTGATGTCGTGATCGCTGAGATATGGACCATTTGGCCAGCCTTCCCGATAGCTCGAGTTTATGTAAAATGCTTTTTAGGGGAAAAGTTGTGACGACTGAGATGGGGTGGCATCAGAAATACGGTCTAAGCTTTCGTGAAGCTACGACTAAGGCCAAAGCCAGTTTCTCGAGTTGCACGTACCTCGTCTCGGCATCGACTAGTGTTTTGCTAATGTAATATATGGGAGATTGCATACCTTTGTTTTCTCAAATTAGGATTGCGCTCATAGCTACCTAGGATACAGCTAGATAAATGAGGAGATGCTCCCCCAGCTCTAGTTTTGAAAGCAAGGGCGGCGACGACAAGTATGCCTTTAGTTCCCTCAGAGCCTAGACGCACTCCGAAGTTCATTGGAGGCCGTTATCTTTCTTGAGTACGCCAAATAATTTATAGCACCTATCTGACGACCGCGGGATGAAACCTTGATAGGGCGGCGATGCGGCCAGTAAACCTTTGGACCTATTTTTTTATGGTCAAGAGCTCGGGTATCCCCTCACTGGCTTTAATTTAGCCAGGGTTGGCCTCGATCCCTCGTTGTGATATGAGGAAACCTAGAAATTTTCCTGAGGCAACGCCGAACGCACACTTCTCTGAGTTTAATTTCATTCAGTACCGTTTGAGTATGTCGAAAGTTTCTTTCAAATAATCGATGTGATATTCTCCCCTTTTTTACTTGACCAGCATGTCGTCTATATATACTTCACTGAGCTGATCCTTGAACATCCTCGTCATCAATCTTTGATAGGTCGCCCCCGCGTTTTTTAGTCCGAAGGGCATGGACCTATAGTAGTACATTCCTTGGTGGGTGATGAACATAATTTTTTTCCTGATCTTCCTCTTCCATGTGGATCTGATTATAGCTTGAGTAAGCGTCCAAGAAACTTAGCAGCTCATGTCTGGCCATTGCATTAATGAGTTGGTCGATGTGAGGCAGCGGGAAAGAATCCTTTGGGCATGCTTTGTTCAAGTCTGTGAAGTCTACGCACATCGGCCATTTCCCATTCTTCTTTTTAACCATTACCACGTTGGCGACCCACTTGGGGTACTTTGATTCCCTGAAGGAACCATTTTCTAACAGTTTTTCCACTTCCTCGCGTACCGATGTGGAATGTTGTTTCTAGAGTCACACCGCTGGCCAAAACGGGGAGAGTAATTTCCCCGGATGTCTGTTCAACTGCATTGTTAAAACCAGTTAGCGTGATACAACGCGACACTAACTTATCCTCGAGTTTCATTTGGGTAAGTACTCGGGGATGAATAATGCATGCACTCCTTTCATCATCTATCATAATACGTTTAACACCAATATACAAAATTCGTAGAGTAATAACGAGGGCGTCATGATGAGGAAAGATCAAACCGTCGGCATCCGACTTGTCGAAGATGGTACTTTCTTTGAGTTCGTCGTACCGTTCGCGGGTGATGGATCGCTTGAGCTTTTGGGTAGTGGTGAACTTCACGCTGTTGATAGAGGCATCGTCTCCGATGATCATGTTGATGGTACGGGCTGGTGAGGGTGGTTTGGGTAGCCCTTGATGTTCGCATCCTTTGGCGAAATTGGTTTTTCCCTTATCGCTTAGCAACTCTTTAAGATGTCCTTGTCGTAGCATATTCACGACTTCCTGCCTTAGGGCGATGCAGTCTTCCGTCTTGTGTCCTCGTTCTTGGTGGAACTCAAAGAAGGCATCGGACTTTCTGGTATTAGGGTCTGATCTCATCTTTGGCGGCCACTTCACTTTTGGTTCGAGCTTCTCCAGGGCGTAGACTATCTCTATAGGTGATAAAAAAAATTATGAGCAGATAATAGGGGGCATACCTCTGTCATTTCGATGAGTTCCCATCCTTGGTCTAGATGGACCTTCTTCGTAGCGGGGGAAGGGGGCGACGACCGTTCTGATATATGGTTGGTTTCGTTCCCTATTAGGTCGCGGAATTGAGTGATCTCTTCTGGCATTGTCTCTTAGATCCTTTCTTGATTCTGCTTGTACTGAGGTTAGTCAGTGGGTTGGCCCGTTGAAGTCGTCCTCATCTGCACGGACTTCGGCATAATAAGCATTGTGGATTTCATCCCAAGTGGTTGGGGGTACTTCATCAACCGACTTAATAGTTTCCTCTTTGCTCTTGAACGATCCCTGCTCATACCGTTCTGAAAAGCTACGACCGTCATCCCTTCAGACACATTTGGCAAAGTCATCCTTACTCGGTTGAACCGGGTGAGGAAGTCCCTCAACCCCTCTCCCAGAGATTGTTTGACAACAAATATGTCGTTCACTCTTGCCTCGGCCTTTTTGGCTCCAGCATGGGCCGTTATAAACTTGTCGGCCATTTCTTCAAAGGTTTCAATGGAGCATGTTGTAGCTGCGAATACCAGGTTAATATTCCTCCAGTGAGGGTTTCGCCGAACTTTTTTAGCAAAATGGAAGACACCTGTTCCTTGGCGAGGTCGTTGTCTCTTACAGCGGTGACGTAATGAGTCACATGATCTTCGGGGTCGGTTGTGCTGTCATATAGCCTGAGGTAGGGCGGCATTTTAAAGGTTTTTGGTATAACATACGGGGCTGCGTCATCACTGTATGGTTGTTCAACGAGCCAACCGGCATCCCTCTTCGGCAACAGCTTGGGGGCGCCCGGTATTTTATCGACCATTTCGTGGTGTTCTTTCATTTGATCTCGGAGTGCCTTGTTCTCATTCTCCATTTCCTCCATCCTTTTTAGAATGGCTGCAAGGGCGTTGTCACCTGCACTATTAATGACATTGTGAGTAATACCCATCGTTGAAGGAGGAGGGAGTTGGTTGCACTGCTCGTCTGCTGGTTGTATAGTGCAAGTCCTTGCATTTTCTGTAGTCGTGTCTCGGGCGGGTTTGTTGAGGATGCTAGTTAGCGTGTAAGTTAGCTACACTTCGAGGAGCTTTTTTTTACAGCCGGGGCGTCTCTTCCCCCACATATGTGGAGGCTCTCTTACCAAGTGATTTTGTGATGCTGCAGTGAGGGGGCGGGGACCCATCTCGCCTAGGCGAGGCACGGGGCGTCGCCCTTCGTCTGCCGTTTCACAGCTTTCTTTAATGATAATCATGAGGTTGGTCGGGAGGTCACTTATTATTCTCATCATTTCTTCTCAGTTACCTGCCATGTTGGGATTTGTGCACACAAAGAAAGGAGATTTTGTTTATGCTTGCTCTTTTTTTGTCAGTTAGTGACCCGTGCTACTTGTAGATCTAGAAGAAACTAAAAGCTTAACTAAGAAATCCCCACTAACAACGTCAAATTAATAGACAAAAAAATGTAACTCTTGGTTCAAATAATTATATTTATGTGATTATGGGCTAAACCTAGTAAATAATAATATTTCTAGATGTGACTTCCGAAAGCGTGATAAGCGTTAAATAGGTCTGGTAGAAAAATGATAACAATGTGCAATAACTATTCCAAAAAGCATGAGCAATAAGGTAGCATTTAATAGCAATGAATAACAATAAATGGTATTTAAGTAAATGGGAGGAGTGATTCACCCAATAAAGGATGAACTAGATGGTTGTTCCTCCTGACAATGATGAGTGACAGACAAATCCTTGAGTGTTCGAGTTATTCTCGGATCTGATGGAAAAGTATGGAATAATATAGACAAGAATCTTGGTGAAAAGGTAGTGTTTGTATCTTAGTACGAGAGAGAATCTTTTGTCAAAGTCTGTTTTTACAAATGAATATCACATGCCCCATATCATTGTCTCTTTTTCTATTTATATGTGACATATTTCTAGTAAACCCTAATAGTACAATTACAGAGAATATCCACTAGAATATTCCCTTTAATATTCTATTTCAAAAACTAGCCGTTACAGCTTCATCAATGGTGCCATTATTGACATTTCGACCATAGCTCTCGCCGGCTCTTCGACTCTTGTTGCTTCCTGGTCCACCTCGACTGATGGCAGCTCGAGAATTCTTTCTTTAGTGCTATCTTATTTTAAATATTCTAGGACAGATTTTGACCCATACAATCTTGTGACTCTAATTAACATGTAGTAGCAAATAGCAATATTCAAGTATTTATGGGAGAACACAATTACATTCCTTTAACAATGCATTTCTAAAATCACTTTTAAGTATCAAGTTGGATGCTGTTTGAGGTATAAGATGACATAATTATGGTATCAAATTGGATATTACTTTATTCAGTCATTCAGTGTTTGATTTGTATTTTAATTCCTGCACAGCCAGTCCTGACATAAAATTTAATACACCAATATATTATTTTATAACTAATATGGAGTATACATAAAGGGCTATAATAAAACAAATACGTACTTTGAGGACCATTTCAACAATTTTCCGTTTACCAGGATTCGATCTTCTGCACATGAACCCCAGTATAGTACCCATAGACCCTCAATCAAAGCGTAGCGCGTTATTCTTTGCGCTAGTTCCCATAGAAGCTTGCAGCAGGTAGTAATAATGGCGGAAGAAGAGGAAGAAGATTACATGGGAGACCTTTCTCATTTCATTCCTCCAGAAGCTTCTTCTCTTCCTCCTAATCCCTCCTCTAAACCGGTCAGTTCCCCTCACACCTAGAAACCCTAGAAGTTTCTTTTGTTGGCTAGATTTCCCGAAATATCATGGCACTATAGTTATTTGATAGTTTAATACTCAAAATTGCTTGTTAATTTTTACTTTTTTCAGTATTCAGTAATCTAGGCTCTAGCCTGGCAAAGAACAAGTATAATTTTCTGATGTGCTGCAATAAAACCTTAGCTACCTTTTCTTCTAAGTCATGTAGTCTCTATATTTCCAATATTCACACACTAATCAGCACTTTGTGTGGTTGGAGTCTCTATATTTCTAACATTTATTTAGAAATGTTTACTTGCATATGTAATATAACAATGTATAACCTTGTTTAGAAATGTTTACAACCTTGTTTTTGTAGGTTAGCAATGGCTAAAAGTGACAGAAGTGATTCTGCTAGTTCCAATATATGAGAACTAGACTAGCACTAGGGAGCTTACAAAATCCAAAAAATGGTCCATGCTATTTACAGAAGAGAGTTTACACCAGCTAAACTGATTCTTAGAACACCTAGTCTTCAAGGACTGATTTGGAGTTGAGATATCATCTACACTTCTACAATTCCTTTCTGTCCAGATACGCCAAAAAAAAAAAAAAATACTAGCAGGGACCATTCTCCAGATATTCCTGATTATTTTTGATATCCCAGTTATATAGGTTTTATTTTTTCTTAGGAGTTAGCCAAGACTTTTCAGTTTGTACTTTTTCTGCATCTTCTTGATGCCTTTAATTTAACACCTTACTTCATAAAAAAAAAGTTTTATCAACTTTCCATGCCCTCCAGGCTCCAGCTTTCATATGCATCCTTAACACTGAATGGCATGAGCGAGCTAAAGTAAAAAACATAATAGTCAAGTGAAACATGATCCATAGGTTTGCTGCTACAGGACAAGGGAGAAGTAGGTGGTTGATGTTTCTGAGTTGAGCTGGGCGCGCTTAAGCCCTGAAGCGAGGCTCAAAACATGTTGAGCGCTTCGCCTCGCTTGGCAGGCGCTTCAGTATTGTCACCAAGGCTCTAAGGCATACTTTTCCGTGCCAATGAGCGTAATCTTGAAGAGGCGACACTAAACAATTGAAATTTCACTTTATCGTAAATTTTCTTCAATTTCATTATCCATATATTGGGTATTCATGCTTATTGATGTTAATCTTGGACTACATATATATATTTGTAGTTTTTCTCCATTAGTGCCTTTCTTCATAAAAGCCCACGCTTTTTTTGCGCTTTGCGCTTAAGGTCCCAATAGACTTTAGAGCTTTTTTGCGCTTTTCACCTTTGATAAGACTGGACACATGTAGCATCTGTTAACAAGCTGAAAATCCCTTCTTGTGAGGTTATCTTGTGTCAGACATGCTTTTTTGAGGGCAGTCCAACTGAAACAGATCACTTTTGTGGGCAACTTTGTAGCTTCCAGGGCCATTTAAGCAGTTGAGTAGATCATTAAGTTCCCAACCTTGTACATCTTTCTGAACGCGAGTCCTGATCTGCTCTGAGCTATTGTTGAATTTGGAACAACATCAATCAAAAATAGGTTGGGGAATTCCTTCTTTAGGATGATGTTTCCTAACCAGTTGTCCTTCCAGAAGCTAATGAAAGCTCCATTTCCCACTCTGAAACTTATACGTTGATTGAATTCTCTCCATAATTTGCAAATACTCCATGTGGTGATTTGTGTACCAGTGATTTAGCTCCCCTTATTTTACTCTGATTACATCCTTCCAAAGTCCAGGTTCCTCTGAGCTGTACCTCCATAGCCATTTCATTAGCATGCATTTGTAACCCACAATGGCTTCAACGAGCAGCAGTGTGAGATTGAGATTTAGCACCTGGTGCCTATCTGTCCTTCAAAGCGTATCATCTGCATACAACAAGGGTGAGACTGATATTGAGTCGCTAGGATTGTTACCCACCTTGAAGCCTTCTATCCACTTCAATTGCCTCGGTTTTTTGTAGTATTTTGCTAAGTCCCTCTATAGCCAAAATGAAAAGGAAGGGAGATAGAGGGTCTCCATGTCTAAGAGCCTTGTGAGGAGAGAAAAAACCCACAGGACCCCTATTGGCCAAAACTGAATGTTTTACTTAATTATGCTGAATTTTATCCATTTTATCCCCTTCTCACCAAATCCCATCTGTAGGAGGACTGTTATAAGCTCGTTCCAGTTTAGCTTATCAAAGGTTTTCTCAATGTCATGGGCTAGCTATGGCTCGAGTGACTTTTTATCATAATTTTGGACCGACTGTTAAATTGTTTGTTTAGATTTCTTTTCTTTTCTTAGACTTTCAGTGCAAAATTGAGTCTAAATTCAACAACAACAACAAAAAACCCAGTTTGATCCCATAAATGGGGTCTGGGGAGGGTAAAGTGTACGCAGACCTTACCCCTACCTCATAGAGATAGAGAGGCTTTTTCCGATAGACCCTCGGCTCAAGGAACAATGAAGATAAAGCAACCAAGTAGCAGAGAATATTAGCAACAATGTAACACGGTAACGGGCGTGAATGCCACGGCATGCATAATAAAGAACCGTAAATAGGAAATTACAAAAATTGTCCTAGTACTACTGAATATTCTAGGAGGAACACACTACTATCTGTCAACCTACATACCTAATCCTCGACCTCCACACCTTCATGTCGTGGGTCATGTCCTCGGTAAGCTGAAGCAATGACATGTCTTGCCTAATTACCTCTCCCCAATACTTCTTAGGCCTACCCCTTTCCTTCCTCAGACCCGCCATGGATAACCTCTCACACCTCCTTACCGGAGCATCTATGTCTCTCCTTTTCACATGCCCGAACCATCTCAGCCTCGATTCCCGCAACTTGTCCTCCACAGATGCCACTCCTACCTTGTCCCTAATAACTTCATTCCTAATCCTGTCTTTCCTAGTATGCCCACACATCCATCTCAACATTCTCATTTCAGCTACTTTCATCTTTTGGACATGGGACTTTTTGACGACACTCAGCTCCATACAACATAGTCGGTCTAACCACTACTCTATAGAACTTGCCCTTAAGTCCAGGTGGCACATTCTTATCACACAAAACCCCCAAGGCGAGCCTCCATCTCCTCCACCCCGCTCCAATACGATGAGTAACATCCTTGTTAAACTCCCCGTTACCTTGAATAATAGACCCAAGATACCTGAAACTATCTCTTTTAGGGATGACCTGAGTACCAATCCTCACTTCCACTTCTTCTTCGTGCATCCCCTCACTGAATTTGCACTCCAAGTACTCAGTTTTTGACCTATTCAACTGGAAACCTTTAGACTCCAACGTTTCTCTCCAAACTTCCAAGTTAGCATTAACTCCGCCTCGCGTCTACTCAATCAGGACTATGTCATTAGCAAATAGCATACACTATGGCACCTCCCCTTGTATGTTACGCGTCAGCACATCTAACGCTAAGGTAAATAGGGCTAAGAGCCGATCCCTGATGTAACCCCATCTCCACTGGAACAAATTCAGTGGGACAAATTATAAAATTATGACAATGGTGTCAAATAGATGATATGGTATGTTGTTGCCTCTGACCCTAATCCGTGTGTATTTTGGTTTCCAGGCATCAAGATCAAATAAGCCTGTAGTTTCGAACTCTTCAAACAAGAAACGTAAGGTGTTAAACTGGCAAGAACGCAAAATGCTCAAGAGAGAGAAGAAGCAGATTGAAGAGGACCAGAAAACTCTAGTTAACTTAGAGTCAGCAATTCCTGAGACCAACATTGGATTCAAGATGTTGAAACAAATGGGATATACTCCTGGATCAGCATTAGGCAAGGAAGGCTCCGGTATGTCTGAACCCGTGGGGCTGGAAATCAGAAGGGGCCGTGCCGGGATTGGGAAGGAAGATGATAAGGTAGAGAAGATGAAGAGGGAAATGGAGAAGGCCAACAGGGATAGAAGGAGAGAAGCAGAGCTAATGGAAACTTTTGGATCTCACCTGAAGGAGCGATGGAAGGAAAAGAGGATCGTCAGCAATTTTCACAAGGCTGAGGCAGCACTGGCTCAGTTAGAGAATAGGGAGGTAGTAGAGGAGAAAAAGGAAGAAGAGGATGAAGAAAAGGAAGAGGTAGAGGAAGAGGAAGAACTGATCACTGAAGAGGTATTGTATTCTGTATCATTTTCGTATGATTTCTTAATTAAGCAAAATGCTAAGTTGGAAACTAGCATCTAGTTCCCTTTTGCTTTTAACCCATTATATGCAAAAACTGAGTTGGCTTAGGGTTGCTTTGCAAAACGATTCTAGGACGGTTAGTGATTAGCAATACCAGATGCGTAGTTTCCTGGTGGCTGACTTCTTATATATCGTGTGTAATACTTATGGCTTATAGATGTCAAATCTCTCCTGTAAGTCATTCTTTTTTATTTTTATGATGTACTTATGATCCACGTTTGTCTTGAGTGGATGCTCTTTTCTAGAAGCAAATGTAAAACTGCCTACTCTTGATTTTCTTATTTTATTTTTTGACTTCCCAATAAGTGCATATGATTCTTCCTAATGGTGCTTTTCTTGGCTTTCTTTGAGTATGGTATGTTTGCATTGCCATTCTTAATGAAGGTTACTTTCTTGTTTAGCTTGCTGCTTGAAATGCTTGTGTTCTCGTTTAACCTGGTACTAATTTTGGGTACTGCTTCACTTTTGTCAATGCAGGATTTGCTCAATACATTGATGAAACTGAGAGATGAATATCATTACTGTCTTTTTTGTGGATGTCAGGTTAGTAGATGAATATCTTAGATAAATAGTAGCGATTTAATTTCCCATATTTAATTATGGTCCAAAACCCAAATTTAGTCTTGAACTGGTGTGATGAGATTGATATTGAAGATAGGAATTGTGTTTTTACGAACTTCTTAGCTCTTTGTCTCCAGCCATAAAATGTCTTGACATCAAGATGTGCGAGCTAGTGCAGTCCAGAAGATAACAGCCCCTTGATTTTGGGGTAAGGGTTCAGGATTTGTTGAGAACATTAGGTGGTGAAATTAATGAGTTTAGCAAAGTTAACCAAAGGAGAGGTAATAAATGCTTGGCTACTATAATGACTAATTATCCATCTAATGGATACATCCTTGTCTATCTGTTAGAAATTGGAGATTGTGCGTTGCAGACTCTGGAATTTCCAATGTTCTACTCAGTGGTATCACGTAAAGGGGAGTGGAAAGGAAACAGGCTATAGCCTGCACATTTTTCCTTGAAGAGAATGGCTCTAATCAACTAAATTCAAAGCTCAATCTTCGCTACTTTAATTACTGATTCTCCATCTCCTTGGATAATTTTTTGTCTATCTATTAGAGATAAGAGAGAGAATGTGTTGAAATGTCACCGTTACATATCAATTAAATTTGAGAGGTAATGTGTTGGGGACTCTCAGATTTCCAGTTTCTAGTTAGAGGTATCATGTAAGGGGAGTGAAAAGTAAACAGGGAATAGCGCACACATTTTTCCACGAAGATAAAGGCCCTCGTCATATCTGTATCTTATTGCTAATATTCTTTTTCTTTTTGCAGTATGAGTCAACTGAGGCGCTGCTGTCTAACTGCCCCGGAGTAGCTGAGGAGGACCACTAAATGCTATCTCCCAATTGGCCTCAGCAGCAAGACCTCAAAAAGAAATTTAAAACCTTCCTAAACAAATGGGAAATTCCTGGGATGATAGGAGCAACTTCCATTGCCCTAATCATGCATCTCGGCAAACAAGAGCTCAGAATGACAATTGTTTTCGCACTTGACTGATTCCTTTCAGCCGAATGTGGATTCTCAAGAGATAGAAAGCAGAATCCTCAGACAACATTGGTGCATCTCCCATTGCATGGAATATTGCATTTGTTGAGCCAGGACCTTTATAGCACGCTATGGGTGGCAGTTGGATATCAAGATGAGTGTTCATGTAATACATAGCTGTTGATTGAAGTTGTAGCTATTCTTCATATGTTGATTGCCTTGTAATGTTAGCACTGTCATATTCGATTGCTCCAAAGGTCGTATAAGCTTCCCATGATTTTTTTTTGTGGTACACCACACACTATCTTGTCTGTTCAGCAGCAGTCTCCGCATCAGCTGGGGTGACCCTGGACTCATGCCAGGGATGGGGCGATTAAAAAAATTAAGGAGTGTACAAAAATATGAACAGAGTATTATTGCTCATATTCCAATTGTGCACCTCGCTTATTCTGGCTCTTTGGTTTAGGATGGATCCAGACCGAACTGCTCATAGTATAAATATAATGATTAGTCAATATAAACTAAGAAAAGTATTGACTTTTTTTTTTTTTTATAATAAAAATAGAGAAGTATTGAATTGTCAAGCCAGGCCAAAAAGTTGACTTGTAAGTTGTAAGTAATGAACTTGGCCTTCTTGACGTGTTAACCATCTGTAAAATGAGGCTCAGGCTTAATTTGAAGTATCCCAATGGTGTAACGCAGTCAACTACTTAGGAGAAAAGGTGGAAGCAGACTTTAATCTCTTGTTTTGTAGAGAAAAGTAGCTCATGAGAAATGAGAAAGAACATATTATATTTAATCTCAAAGTTCCTTTAATCCATATTTCTGAAAAATGCAGCAACAAGGGACAACAAGCCCACACAGGCAGCAAGGAGCATGGCACTACTAAGACCATATGGTGAAACCGCTGCTGGCGAGAAGCCTCATAGCCTGCACGGGGGAGCATACCATAGTGAAGAATGTAAATCTGGGCAATGGAAGAGCTTCTGAGCAAAATAAAAAATAAAAAATTAACATCAGAAGAAAGCACCTTAACAAGTTCACCTACTAGCGCCTAAGGGCAGCCCGGTGCACAAATCATCCCATATTCATGCGAAATTCAGAGAAGGGCCGACCCTAGGAGGATAATGTAGACAACCTACTCTAATGCAAGCATTAATGGCTTCTTCCACTGCTCAAACCTATGACCTATTGGTCACGCGGAGACAACTTCACCGTTGCTCCAAGGCTACCATCGCCTAAACATCTTAATCAGTTCTAGTTCGAACTATCTACATATTGTCTTACCACCTCATTCCATGGGAATATCTCTGCTCTTAGTAAGATGGACACTGCCCTTCCTCGATGTATATATCAAGAAAGGGACAATGGAAGAAAACACTAAGCTGCTTTAAAAAGAAATGCAAAGTACACGGTAGCAACAAGAAGTTAAACCGTACACACAATTCATAAAATAACCACAGAGTCATTTTTGAGTGAGTCTAGGAGAGTTGCACAAAGGTAGCATCATAAAAAGTGCCATTAGTCAACATCCACCCTTACAAACACGATGCCATTTATTGAACAAAAGTCTTCCTACGACGATGATAGTTAGATATGAAGGAGATGGCACTCAAAGTGTCCAGTGCACATTTTGAACAGAAGAATCATAACCCTTTGAGTGCTCCAGTTCCATATACTGTCTTCCACTGTGCTGAGCCATTCCAAGCTCAGCAGAGTACTGATTGACAGCATGATGAGAAATGTGACCCAGCCCGAGATCAGGAGGTATTGCATGTGAACTGCTACTAGCTTCATTTCCTTTAAATCCCCATAGAGGGCCTGAGTAGTGATTGACAGGAGCAGCATGGGAACCCGATGGCTGAACGGTATGTCCGCCATCAGTGTTAACCAAGCCGTTAACCCCGAGGCTAGAGGATTGGTTCCTCGAGCCCCATGGCTCATTTGACAGAAGAGAGAGAGCACCACTGGAATCTGAGACTCCAGAGAAGCAGTTTCCGGAAGGAATAATACCAGGACCAGAATAATTGGCACCCCTAGCAACTGAACCTTGCAGAACAAGGTCGGATGTAGGATTTTCAGAACTGTTCAGCCAATGACTCTGGAGAAGCTTCACTGATGCAGTGGATTGATTATCCCATCCTCGCTCAGATGATCTAGTATTTGGCCATGCACCTCCAGTGAGATTCGGATATGCAGTGAAGTCGAGCAGAAAACTTCCAGATCTGCCATTGTTTTCTGCAAGTGCAGATGTTAAAACAACTATGGTAAGCATGAAGTAACAGAGCCAAAGAAATGCTTAAGCTCCATGAAGTCTTAATGCAAGGAACACCCTTACCAAATATTGATGAAGAAAGACTTCCATAGCGATTAGACAAAAGAGATCCAGGTGGAGGTTTCCTGCGACGCTCATTATGGCCTGCTAAGCGCCTGCGGCAACTGCGTTTCCCTTGGTCAAATTCTGGCAACCGATGGAACCTGGAAGCAAAGTACCAGCAGTTAATTCCAGGCAAAGAGAAGCAACTGATCAAAGATATTGCTAGCCCCTATTGCCAATGCAAACTAGCATTTTCCATTATTATTAAACAACATACTGATATTTAAAACCCACCTTATTTGCAATAAATCATTCAGCAAACCATTTAAATTTTGGGAAACACAGCTTAGCTATGGCATTCCCTTAACCCCTCAGACAAATAAAATAAGGTTCGAGCACTGCAATACGGATAAAGAGCCAAATGTAATTAACGATGGGCACCTTGGAAGCACTTCTGTTATTATACCACCATGTAAAAGTAGTTATATTATATGACTAGACATGTCAAAAATAATGCTGAGGTTAGCCCTCGCTCTTGGTGGTTTCTAACACTTTTTGTTTTTCAAGCCGCTTTATTATTGTAGTTAGATCAACAATTCAAGCGCTCTTGATCACATAAGATTTAACCAAAACCTGAACAAGCATTTGTTACTTTCCGAGATCTATTGATGATAATAATGAGCTTAACAATACAAATAGCAACGAAACTAAAGAATTTAACAAAAGCAAGAAGCAAAAAAGGAGTTATAAATGACATATAAAGAACAACTTAATGGTATCATATCAAATCAACTACCTAGAGGCTTTGGATCAAGTGCAGTCTCTTACTTCAAACCCCCCCCCCCGCCCCCCCCCCCNNNCACACAACAACAACAACTAACAACAAACGAACAAACAACTAACGAACGTAACGTAACGAACGTAACTAACGAACTAACAACCGTAACCTAAACCGTAACCGTAACGTAACGTAACGTAACGTACCGTAACGTAACGTACGTAACGTTAAGTACGTTAACGTAACGTAATTAACGGTAACGTAACGTAAGTTAACGTAACGTTAAGTTAACGTAAGTAACGTAACGTAACGTAACGTACGTACGTACGTACGTACGTACCGTACGTTACGTTACGTTACGTTTACGTTTACGTTTTACGTTTACGTTTACGTTTACGTTTACGTTTACGTTTACGTTTACGTTTACGTTACGTACGTACGTACGTACGTACGTACGTACGTACGTACGTACGTACGTACGTACGTACGTACGTACGTACTACANNNTAACGTTAAACTAACGAACGTAACCTAGGTTACTTACGTTACGTTACGGTACTTTACGTTACGTTACTAGTTACGTAATTAAAGTTTAAGAAGTACGTTAAACTAACGTAAACTAAACGTAAACTTAACGAACTAAAACGAAACGTAAACGTAAACGTAAAACGTAAACGTAAAGAAACGTAAGAAAACGAAAGTAAAGTAAAGTAAGTAATAAGTATAATAANAACTAAATAAGTTAAGTACTAATACTATATACTAACTAACTTACGAACGTACGTACGTACGTACGTAGTAGTACGTAGTCTACTGTACTACCCCTACCCCTACCCCTACCCCACCCCACCCCCACCCACACACACACACACAAAACCAACTAAAAAAAAAAAAAACCAAAAAGTTATAGTGGAAACAAAGAAAAGAAAATCACGATTCAACTTGAAGTGCCATAACCTTTTCCCCCCAAAAGATGGTGTGATGTCGGACTGTTATATTGTGGAAAATGTTAACGTAATGTGTAAGAAATTGTACATATGGCAAGAATCCAGTCCTTGTAAATATGGGAAGGTTTGGTATCCCTATAATTGTGTAACTGGAAGTTGGAAATTCTTTCTTTTCCTTTTCTGAGTTACTAGATGCTTCAGGAAATAACCAAGCACTTCATTCCCCAAATCTCCCATTCCTCCTTTCTTGACATAGTATCAAAGCCGATGGTTAGACAAAATGAGTATGGAGATAGCGAATAGTTTGGAGTTGGTTGGTTGGAACACTTGGGCCTATTGGAGACATGTAAAAGCAGTCTGGTAATGTCCTTGATGGCCATAAAAAAATTCAAACAATGCAAGTAGCACATAACAAATCTCAAACCTGTCAACTTTCGTGGTGAGCTGGCCCGTCAATCTTGGTGGTAGCCCATGCAGTGTATAGAAGATTTGTTAGGGGTATGAACAAAGTCCCATATTGATAGTTGAAGCTTGAAGGAAAGAAGCTACATGTAAGATGTAGGGATATTTTTAAATTGTCTAGACCTTTGGGGGAAATCCTGCTAGCTTGGCCCAAAGCGAACAATATCACACCATGTCAAGAGTGTCTTTGGGCTGGTATGAGGCCCACCAAACTAGTATTCACTTTATACTACCGAGTGAGTAGTCTAAGATGTTACCTTAGAGGTGGTTGGAACCCCAAAATAAAAAAAGGAAGGCATAAGTTAAGCACATAAGGACTTTGGTATGACGATGACTTGAGCTTAAAGAAAGAAGTGAGGATTCATAAGCCGAATCTCACTTGTTTGGGACTGAGGCGTAATTGTTGTTGTTACATTCAGCGCATCAGGAATTAGCAGCTAAAATATCTTTCAAATAAAAGACGAACATAAAAAATTTTTCCTTCAGAAGAGCTAATGCACACATGGCAACAACTAACATAGAACCAAAAAATGTACTGCCATTTTTGTTTTAAAGAAAATCAACTCACTAGGATTAATCTGGATCTTGTAAGAATGAATATCAACGCCATCTATGGCGGAAAGTAAATTCGTGCAAGGCAAGTACCATTCTCATAAAAAAGAAGACACCACATTGCTTCAATCGGATCAGTAAATTGAATGTCCTATCAACAGAATTTTAGCCAATGTAGCTACTTATCCATGTAGGACGTTTTCAAAGAGTACTTCTTGCATCCAGAAGGATTTCTTTTTGTTCTCCAGATAATTAGAGTTCTAGCACTGGAGCTATTATATCCTTATTTCAGCTTGGAAAGGCGCTGCAGTTACTTTATCTGATACTGAGATAGAACAACCAAGCCAATCAAGGTAAACCACAGAGTACTCTTCATTGCAGCGAGCAAACTGATCAAGCGCTAGCCACTCTATTCCCATTAGCGTCAGGCTACAACTCATGCCTATAATGTTGTCTGCAGTTGTTATTTTTCATTGTTGATTACAGTGCATGATGTCAATTCTGTGAATCTCAAAAAATGGGCTTTTGACATGGAAATCCAGGAGATTTGTTATTTCAAAGTAATTGAAAATTCAGCAGAATGAACTTAGACAACACAAAAATAAAGTTGAAGTTAATCCTTTACAGCACAAATTTTAAAACTGTTTGCCAACTTCACCATGTCTAGACTTGTGTGAGAGTAGCATCAGACACAGAACAGACAAATATGTTGGTGCAAAAAAAAATGGCTTTAGCAATAAAAAACACACCTTTAGTCAATAACTGTAGTTTCAATAAATTGGAGAGAGTTTACACTATCATTTGTGATAATCTTTTTTTGGGGACAAGTGCATTATCAGTTAATGATTCCTTCTATTAAGCAATACTGCATACATAATGATAGCCAGATTAAAGAAGAATAGAAAAGATCCTACATTTTTCCCCAACCCCAACTCATTTTCAGAACGAAAAAGGGAAAAAGTTAAAAACTAGATAGAGGGTAATAAAGAAAGGAAGAGTTGTTTGCACAACTCCATTTCCCTGTCAAGAAAACCAACAAATAAGTATTCTGATTTAGTAAGTATAAGTTAACTGCTGTGTTTTGTTGACATCTCTTCAACAACTAAACTAGCAGAGGATATCTCTTCACAAATACTCTCAACTTAATTTACTTGGTCTTATCCTTTTCCTTCTTGGCTTTTACCAAATTCTTCAGCATCCATTACGCTGTCCAAAATGAACAAAAACATATTCATCATATAAAATATATAACTTCGATTTCTGAGGGGAAAATGGGCACGTAACACTGAATTTATATTATTCCTGATAGTAATTTAGTACAGTAACATTCATTTTCTGATAAAACTGCCCAGAGTTGAATTTTTACACCTACTCCATCATTCAACCCTTTTCTACAGCTATTATTACTTCAACGTGAGTATATCTGCGCCAGTGACAATGCAACTTCTCCAAAACTTGGAGTTATCCTTCTCTTTTTCCCCTGTTTTCTCTAACGAACCATGCAATATATTTGTTATCTTGTAACTAAATTTGTTAGAATGCTCAATGAACTAACCCAAAAACATAGATAGGCCAATTTTCGAAGAGGAAAACCTCCATTGTGTTAATCGCAGCAATTTAGACATGCCATTTCTTTGACCAGTAACTTGGCTTCAAAACACTAATTTACATCATCTTTTCTCCATCCACATTTTCACGCTTAGCGACAAAACACATGTTTTTGAGTGAAGCACAAACCCAAACACCACCTTACCACAGCCTCCTCAAACCAACAAAAGTTAATTCCTGGAAACTCTAACACACCGTATAGCCATGGTCATATCTAGAACTTTCGAACTTTATTAGTCCTGCAGTTGTAGTCATACTAAAATTATTGGAGTATGCTATATCTCCCAAAGTTAGTCTCCTATTGCTTCCCAAGTAAAATGAAAAAGTTATTTCTTTTCAAATGCAATACGCAATAACTTTTCATTCAATGAAGAATGTATGACAGTCATTTTGAAACAAAAAAGAAAAAGTTCTACTAACATATACATCTAGTACTTTTTACATAGTTTCTGACTATTTAAATTTAAAGAAAAAAAAAAGCAAATTATGGTTTAAGAAGATTGATTCTTGATTAGGTAGTAATCCTAGTATTTATTCAAGCCATTTATGGAAACAAGCATATCTAGTTCCAGCTGAGTCCTCCACAAGAAGCAGAAGATTGCACTGAACATCTAAAAACAAAATCAAACACATATCACATTCAACCAAAGCATAGTGGAATCTCAGCTTTCCAGTAGCTTTTGGATGTTATATTAGGGGAGAAAGACTGAAAGAGACACCTAAACAAAAGATTAATACTATACAAATCCCCTTGCACCAATGAATTAGCAAACAACAAATTAACAAATCCAGCATAGTCAACTCTCCAAATAAACCAATAAGCAAATTCCACAGAGGCACAGGACCACAACTTCATAAGCACAACAAACAAATAGCAAGCAATAATTTAATATTTCAATCATATGCATGCATCTCTCTCTCTATATATATATGCACACACACACACACACACTAACTAGGGGCATATACAATACTAATATTTTTTCATGACAGCAATGTTTGAGCTAGTTTGCGTGCCCCTCGACTATGTCACTGGATAGCAGCTAACTCTTGGCTACACCTGGGACAGTAATATATTTTTTTTTAAAATAATGAAATTTTATAGTAGTAATTAATAAGGTCTCACCTGCTACACTGTTGACAAAATCTTTGTTCAAGACCAGCAACAATGACCACAGGAGACTTAGAATGTGTAGCACAGACTTTGTGCCTTGAATAGTAAGCCTTAACATCACTCAGATCTGCTTCACACCCTTCAACTTGACATCTAGGTGGCTGCCGAGCTTGAACTACACCACCCCCTCTTACTTTCTTGGACATCGCCGGCGCCGGAGTTCCGGTGACCGGCGGCGATGACGATGACCCAGTTGCTGATTTGAGGTGCTGAGGTCCAACATGCTCAAAGTAGATTTTTTGACCAAATTTTAAAGTGTTGGGAGGAGAGTCAGGGGAAGTAGAAGTAGTAGAAGTAGAAGAAGAAGCAGAAGCCAGAAGTTCCATTTCCGACTTACTGAGCCCATTCATCACAACCTTGTTTGAGTCAAATCATTCATAAATAAAAAAAGGTGCCCCCCATTCAGTTTGAAGAGACCCTGTCACTTTATTTACATTTATGGTGAAGCAGAGTTGTGAAAGCCCAAAATAAAAAATAAAAAACTTTTATTTTTCCTCTTATTTTTTCTAAAAACTAGTTTTGTGATTATAATACTTATATATTATCTCTCTTTTTGTTTTCTTTAGTCGAGGGCCTACCGGAAACAGCTTCTCTATCCTCTCGGAATAGGGGTAACATCTGCAAACACTCTACCCTTCCCAGACGCTATTTACTGAATTGTTGTTGTTGTAGTATTTTTCTGATTACCTTATCTTCGTATAGATGTGTGAATATTTGTGAAATGGGACTTGGGAGTATCAAGAATGAAGAAAAGGGGGGTTTAGTGGTAAGAGTTTAAGTTATATATAAATATGTAAAATGATCTTTTGTTATTATTAGTGTTATTTAAACTTATGTGACAAATAATTATACTCTATCTCTTTCACTTTAGATGATATAGTTTAACTTAGTACAAAGTTTAAAGAAAAAAAAATATGACTTTTGAAATATGTGGTTCTAAAAGCTTAAGGGGCAAATCTTTATAGGGTCTTGACATTTGTGTAGCTATAAAAACTTTTTATTAAGGGTAAGGTGGATGAAATAAAAAATTTAAAGTTAAATTATTTTTAAATATAAAAATATGTCATTCTTTTTGACCGGACTAATAAAATGTCACTAAAATTGAAACGGTTGGAGTACTATTTATCTGGTTAGGAAGTTTATACAAAAGGTTACTTGTTATTATAGGTTAAGTGAACCTAATAGTATAAAACTTTATTTATGGTGCTCTCCATTATTTTATATTTAAATAATAAACACTATGTATGCGATTAGTATTTTTAATCAGCTAATTATAAGTAATTTGCTATAATAAGTATGAGTTTATAAATTATAAACTAATAATGTTATTTAAGTTCAGAGGGATGATATTTAGTTATTTACACAATCAATTATTAAAGACAATTAACTTTATATTTATTTAATAACATAAAAATTTGTACTATTAACCTATTATATTTGTTTGATTATTTTAGTATGCTAATGTGAAATTTTAAATATTTTGTAAAATTAGTTGACATGTGCAAATTAATTCGAATATCATAATAATTAAAAAAAAAGAAGGACAATCCACTGTACAAAGTATTTCGCATTCACGCAGCGTCCGACGAAGGACGGCAGCCTAAGAGGGTGTAATGTAGACAATATATTTTAATGCAAACATCAGTGGTTGATTCCACAGCTTGAATGCATGATTTATAGGTCAGACGGAGATAACTTAACCTTATTTCTTATTTTTCCATTGAGGATTGTTTGGTTTGTTTCCCCACGGTATGAGATAATACTCGGTATGTTAGTGGAGTATGGTTTGTTACAATGTGAAAAGATGACAGCTGACAATGGGGTATGGTGCCAGCTTGGGGGGGTTGTGAAGTACTGATTGTGTGTGTGTGTGAGAGAGAGATATTTTTCTTTCTCAGCAGCTTTACAACTCTGCTGCTTTTTTGGGGTTCATTTCAAACCCAATCTTTTTCATTCTTCCCAAATCCACCCCTTCCTTTGTACTTGCGTATATGCAAATAGTAGTTTAGTAGTTTACATCTGTACACTTATAATAGAATAATCCCATGTTTGAACTATCAAAGATTCTACTACTCACTACTTACAAATTATAGTTTCAAGAAAATTGTAGTCCGTACCAACTGCCACCCCCCAAAACAAAAAAAGCACTTAACTGATTTTCCAATACTCCCTCTAGTTTAGTAAAATTATATTGGTCTCCCATGTATTTTAGAAGTATATCTACGATCTTATCTTTCGCCAGATCCCACTTGTAAAACTATACTAGGTATATTATTACAATAACAATAACCCAGTGAAATTTCACTAGTGGAGTCTGGGGAGGGTAGTGTGTACGCAGACCTTACCCCTACTACGACAGGTAGAGAGGTTGTTTCCGAAAGACCCTCAACTCAAGAAGACGAAAAGAGGCAATATACTCCCTCCGGTCCAAAATAAGTGATTTTTTGGCTTTTTTCTTGTGGAACAAAATAAGTGATTTTTCCAGATTTCAAGAATGAATTAATTATTTTTTTCCTACATTGCCCTTGGAGTAATTAATGTTGGAGTATGTGTTAGGAGTGTTTATGTGAAGAGATAGTAAAGGTTAATATAGTCAATTTTATTGCTAATTAATGTTAAAAGATGAATTTCTTAATATGTGTGAAAACAACCAAAAAATCACTTCTTTTGGACCGGAGGGAGTATTAGTACCATCAATAAAAACCATAGAAAAACATAATTAACAGCATCACAAGAACTAGGAAATAGATGGAAAGCAAAACAATAACCAGTAGATAAAGCCCGACACTAAGAGGAATGAAAGAGTAGTGAGAACTTAACACTAACCACCGGCAATATAAGACTAAATCCTAACAGACTAGCCTTGCTCTGGTGTGTCGTAGAAATACTGGGTATGTTATTGTTGTATAAATATATCATCTCTAGTTTTATTTTATTCTTACTCAAGCCTCTCTAATTAAAGTAGAGACGCGAAGATTAATAAGTTAGTCTAACTCTTATTTGCATCGTTTTTTTTATTTACTTTGTTGAGAAAATCAAGCAAAACAACAAAAATATTGTAACAAGAGGTTATTTTTGTCAAAGTCAAATCTCATTATAACAGCCTCGTTTGTTCCGATATTTTTTGGCTTCTATAGCGAGGTACTGTTATAAAGAACATATATTATAACATAACATAAAAATCGGTTCCGAAAAACCTTGGCTTTTATAATGAATAGTTGTTATACAAAAGTCTGACTGTGTTAAAAAATTTAGGCTAATCATATGATATTGGGTGTACCGGGCTATTCTTTTAATCATTTAATGTTTGAAATTCATTGTCTTAATTAATCAAAATTCATACCTATTAAGTAGAGAGGGAAGTGCACAGTTAGCCAATAATAAAACATGTATTTACTTTTAAGCCATTGTTTAAAATGTCTTTAGTCTTTAGCCACTGCTTTAATAAACTTTTACCCGCCCGGACGAAAATGCCCTTATGCTCATAAAGTTCAGGACCAAGTGTCCTTAACTTATGAGCTTGTTACTGTAAGTTCACGACTAGCTGTCCTTAATTTATGATCTTGTAAGTCTAAGTTTAGGACAACCTGTCCTTAACTTTTGAACTTGTAACTCTAAGTTCAGGACTACACGTCCTTAACTTTTGAACTTGGAACTCGAAGTTCAGAACTACATGTCCTTAATTTCTGTGCTTGTAACTCTAAGTTAAGGACTACCTGTCCTTAATTTCTGTGCTTGTAACTCTAAGTTAAGGCCCAAGTGTCCTTAATTTTTGAACTTCCAACTCTAAGTTCAGGACCAAGTGTCCTTAAATTATGAGTTTGTTACTGTAAGTTCAGGACTAGTTGTCCTTAATTTATGAGCTTGTAAGTCTAAGTTAAGGATTACCTGTCCTTAGTTTTTGAGTTTATAACTCTAAGTTTAGGACTACCTGTCCTTAACTTTTGAACTTGTAAACCCTAAGTTCAGGACTGGACTGTGACTTGAGTGTAAAACAACTTCCTTTGATATCTAATGCAGAAGATTATAAAGCAAATTATATACACTAAAAAATCAAGATTTGGTCAAATATCCACCAGGAGAAAAATATGTCGTTCTTAATATGTCTTCTTAACATTTTTGTTAAATATTATGGTAGCATATCGTGTTGATGTGTCAATTTGTAACATCTCCTTTTCCAATCCAACTTTGGGGAATCTATAAGTGCTTGACTGCAGAATATTTATGTCGACTTGTTGAACCCTCCTGCCGAGCTGGAGAAGAGATAGAAGAAAGGGTAACACCATTTTTTCATATTAATTTTAATACACTAGTAGTTACTTTTGCTTAGCATTAAAAATACTAGATAAAAAATATATACCACTTTAAAAGTGGCTACCCCACGCAATTTTCACTTATGTAGAAGTGCTCCCTATTAAGATTTTTTTATTACTAAGTTACAAATCCTGAAAAAAATATCGGTTGGGACCTACTTAATTTTCAAATTGCAAATTCCTTTGACTCTCTTATTAATACTAAACATTATAGCTAAGGTACAACTAACGAGCCTAATTTATGAGAGACAGACCCCCACAAGCAAACCCTTCTTCCCTTGTCCTTAAAAGGTTTTGGTAGATGGAATGCCACGTATATCACATTAATAAATGAGCAGGCTTTAAAAATGACCAGACAAGTTAGCTTTATTTTCCAACACCTTTCCTTTTCATTCTTTCTTTTATTGTAACGGTTATCTGTGAAGGTGTCATTTTGCTGCTCTAATTTAAAGTAAGTCAAAATGTGAAGTCAAATTTAGAGCCCAAAACCAAGTACTTTGAGACCAATAATTAGCTAAGATTCTTAATTATGGTAATGTCTGTTTGTACATGTAAGAATGTCGATTACCCTTACAGGAAATTTTTGCCATCATTTCCTAAAGGTAAATATGCACTATGAGTAATTTTAGTATGTTTGACTGTTTCTCAACTAACGACTTTGAAAATTTTCAAACTAAAGCAGCGATACATGTAAAGCGTAAATGCATAATGATGGATGCAAGTTCACAGGGAACTGTTCTATTTACCCTCAAAATCTGATAACAATTAAATTTGTAAGTAGTTTTAAGGATACGTGAATTAAATTGATACAAAACGATAAATTGAATTGTAATTAAAACGAATAATGATAAAGTAAATTCAAACCGTACAACTTGAACAATTATAGCCTTGAAAAGTAAGTCTCACTTGAACCGAATACAATTCAAACGATATCAGATACAGAAGAATAGTAACTTACAGAAAGAAAATAATATTATATTGCTTTGGGATGCGTGTAACAATGTCCTTTACAAATAATCAGAACCCCTTTTTATAGAGTAGGGGAGTCCTACTTTAGGTATAATTCTATAAAAGATAAAAAATTCCATGATTTGCTAATTAGCCGGTTTCTCATTGATACGTGCCGAGATTCTCGCCGTGATACCCGACTGGTTACGGATATTTCGGCCTTTCGTTATTCAGTTTGACAACGTTTCCTCGAGCTTATTCG